TAGTCCTGTCACTATATATGACACCGTGAAGTATAAAGTTAAGTAACATATGAATATTTTAACCAATTTAGACAATAAGCTTGAAATATTAGGTCTCTCTTTTGTTGTTTCTGTTTTGTTTTCAAGATTACTGAGTATGCATGATTTTCCTTAATTTGCTAGTTAATTGTCCTTATCTGTTTTAATCTATTCCTAGCCATTTTGTTCTTTTTTTTCTAGTATGTTTCCAGGGAAGAGTAAAGCTTTGTGACTGGGATTAAATAAAATCCGTATATTCTATAGCTATTTTTAAAAAATTTAGCCTGTCACTGCCAAATCTTTCATTTTAAAGATTGGCCACACATTTTAGTAAGTGACTACATAATCATAATTTTAACTGAAACCATAAATAGCTGACCATTTACATAATATTCTCAAAAAAAAAAAAAAACCATTCAATACAAAAAACAAACTGACAATAAGTAAATTTAGGAAACTTTCAGTCCATCTTGTAGCCCTTCCAACTTTAATATTGTAAGTGATAATCAACGTCCATTATGACAAGCTAAAGAGAGTGCAAAATGGTCCGTGCTTTCTGAATTGCCACTATATTAAGAATCATTTTAAATCTGGCTGTAAATAATTGTTTTCTAATGGCTACTAAGCAGATTCCAGATAATGTTTGTTTACTACACTAAAGTATATATAACTACTTTATGAGTTTAATGAGAATTATGGAAATCAAATACTACTTATAAGCTAACTGACAGCTTACAGCCAACTCTTAGACAGCACATCATCATTATGTTTCAGGTGACATAATTTCACTCATTAATATTCCCAATAATTATGGCTTACAACTTCTCAGATACCTGCTTTCATACTCTAGGGCCTAGACTTTGGCATACTTTCATTCCAAACCAAACTTCTTTTCTGGAGGTAGGGTCATTTATCTTTTCTAGCTCCAAGCATGTCAATGACTGTGAGGATGACGCAGGACAGGGCAGGGTTTCGTTCTGCTGTACATCGGGTAGTTATGAGTCAAAACCAACTCAAGGGCACCTAGCAACAGCTTCAAGATGTATTATCCCCACACTCTGCTGACAGAATCGGGTGGTCCATATGAAGATATCCACCATGTCCTAGGCACGGTGCCATGACCATGGAAGGAAATATAGTGCATAATGCATGGGGGGACATTGCAGCCTAGTGATGAATGTAACAGTCAAATTTTTCCTTATTTTGTGGAGTTTACTTTTGTTTTCAGAAATGATATTAGATGATCTTAACGAGAGAAGATAAAATTAGAAGGATCTTTTCCAAGGTATGGACTTCTCAATAAATACAATAAATCACCTGAGCCTATTTTATTCTTTTATAAAAGAACCACAAACCACACAGAACTCATTTTGACATCAGTGCCTTTAAGTATTTCAATTACATTATCTCATTTTTTGAGAACTGTTGGTAGGTGGGTGCACTGTAAATATTATGATTTTAACTTTGTCTTCCTGAAGATTCCATATCTACCCTAATGGCTTTGGAAGTGGTCCAGTTCTTTACAATAACCTGAAGCCGAACTGTGCTAGACTGCGGTACACATTATTTATAGTCACCATCTCCTGCACATTTTCTGTCCTCAGCTTCCTGAGGAGCACAGAAAACTGTTCCACAAATTTAATATGGAAGAAAGCCTGTATCATATTACTTCCTACTTAGGTTTTTTAAAATGCGTAACTCTTAATTCAATCCAATAAATATATACTGAATATCTACTCTAGCTGAGGTGCTGTTGGAAATGGAATAACATGTTTAGTGTTGTGTTCTCAACAGATCAATTCTTTCAGGGATCTTTGAAAATTGTTTTCGAAATTCATCTTAATCTTTTTTTTTTTTTCAAAATATATAGTTTTTTTTTTTTTTCCTAAATAATATTTAGAGATTGGAAATAGTGTGCTTTCTAATAATTGGGAATATTTTCATCTACCTCATTTCTGGAATGTCCCTGTTTAATTATCTATACATCCCACCTATGGTTTCTTTAACACAATGCTGGTAGCATAGTGCCTAAGGCACTTGACTGCTCACCAGAAGGCTGGCGGTTCAAACCCACCAGCCACTCCTCGGAAGGAAGGTTGGGCAATCTACTTCGGTAGTGATACTGCCTCGGAAACCCAAGGAGGGGTCGCTATGAGTCAGGGCCGACTCGATGGCAAACAACAACAACAACAACTTTAAAAAAGAAAAAAAAAAAAGTTGTTGAAAACAAGATGATTGACTAACAACTCAAAGAATGTGGTCAAGTTACACTCAGACGTGCATTCTTCCAAAGATACTCAGGGTGTTTAGCCTGGCATGGTCAGGACAAGGAAGGTGAGAACATCTTACTTACAGAACGGTGAGGGATGAGTATCGAGGCAATCTGGCACACAGCATATTCACTTGACAAAGCAGTTAAACATCTAGGGAAGGGGATAGAAACTTGTATAGGAGTCATGGCAGGTAAACCTTAAGGCTGTAGGGTAGAAGGTGATTCAGGCCAAAATGGGAGAAAGGTTGATGGCACCATGCCATTGCCAAAAAGGCTGTTGTCCTGCAGCTTTCAGACCAGGAAAGAGGTAGTTTTTGTGCACATATCTCAGTGATTAAGGTCTACAGAGGGTACAAAGGGGTTAGACCTATTTACCCACTAGTCCAGGTCATTGGGCATATGTAGATTTGGGGGTGAGGGAGAAGGAAGGAACTCTTTCCAAAGAATATAGAAGGAAAGTCAATTGAATTTTAAACAAGCTCTAATTAAATTTTACATTTTTTGACCTTGATGTACTATAACTTCATTATACCTGTCCAATTCCAATCACAGAAATAGAATTCACAGTTATTAGTCTATAAATCTTGCTGTATCTATATTTCTACAGCTTCCCATCTTTCACTTTACATAAACAAAAAATAATATTTAGGATTTTGTTCCAGTTTGATAAAAATAATATTGCATATCAATTAACAAATCTCCTCCTGTTGTTTTCTAGGAAGATAGACTTTTATTATTGGTAACCTGTTTTCTATATGAAAGTATGAGAGAACAGCTAAAGAACTATTTTTTCAGTATATCCAGAACAATCATCATGTCATACGCATGATAATCATAAGTGACTTTTATCTTAATTAGGTTTATAATCTATTGTGAATATTAACTCATTTATCGAAATAAATGAAAATAGGTCTGTTGTCTCTTTAAGTGCAATTTCCCTTCCTGATATCTCTAACAGACATCAAGACATTTTTAAATACAAAATGTTTATAGCTTCTATTATACTATCGTGCAATAAATTTCCTTTCTAAATGACATATATGAGCTCTGGTGGCATAGTGCCTAAGGCATTTGACTGCTAACCAGGGGGCTGGTGGTTCAAACCCACCAGCCACTCCTCGGAAGGAAGATCGGGCAATCTACTTCCGTAGAGATACCGTCTTGGAAACCCAAAGAGGAGTCGCTATGAGTCAGATCTGACTCAATATATAGTAGACATTTTATTGAATAAAATTTTTCAGTTTTGATGCACACAATTATTAGTTTTCATGACCTTAAAATGTACTTCTCAGATTAAAAACTAAATAAAAAGACTTAAAGGGAAATAGTGGACAAAGGATGGAATTAGAATGTTTTAAATTTTGCTAATAAAAAGTAGAGTGAAATCTCTATAATTCACCAGTGTCTATATCAAAACTTCCTTTCCATCAATGTCTTTCTCACTCTGTGATTTTCTCAGCTTTATGATTCTTCAGGTAGTAGTTTGTCTTTATATTTATCTACATAATCAGAGTAATTCTCAACTCAGAATTACAGGGAAAAAGTGACCAATTAAAGGAAAAAATATTGTTAAAAATATTAATTTACATTCAGTGATCCCAAGACTCTGAAATCTTACATTATAAGATCTCCCACTATCTGTGAAAGTCTTGTACAATTGGTCCAGAGAAGCTTTCAACTAACCAGATGTATCAAAAGTCACAGTTCACGAAACTAAAAATACACCAGTGTCTTTTTAACAACCAGCTTCTTCTTATGATTCACAGCTCTGCTAGCATCTTTAAGTCCCATATGATACATTTAACTTTGAACTTAATTGAAACCACCTTTCACAAAAGCCCTTTCTAATTTCTTATACCTTTTAGTCTGGGAAAATAATTCTGATTGAGAAAGTAGAATGTTTGCATGTTTCTATAATAACATAAATGGAATAGGCATATTGTTTCTCCCCCCGTTACACAGCAAGAGAACCCAAAACGTCTACCAACTGACACAACTGAATGTTTTGCACTTTCTTCCAAAAGATGAAAAATCACGTCAGACAGGAAACATATCCTTTAGATTAGTGACAGGTGCAGAACAAGCACACTCATCAACATTTATTTTCATTGTCAGCGTGCTCAGTGAGAAGGTATAACTCTTTCTTTCCATTGAAGTGACACACATCATATTATCCCTTCATGTACACATCACCAAGCAGAAAAGTTCCTAAGTGACAAAACTGCTTGATTGTCGGTGATAAAATCTCAGTACTGAAAAGAGAGAGGGTGACTCTAATGATGATGATGATGATGATGATGATGGTGACCATATAATGATGATCATGATGTTCACATGAGTTTAGCTGAAGAATTTATTTAGGAGGAAGGAGAAAAAGTTGTTTCCATTCTCATACTTAGTTTTTCACATACTGGGAAACATACTTAGGAGGTGAGTGAATTAGAACCTTTATTTAGAAGCTGAGTGATTTAAATTACAGCACAATAGCATGGCTCACAAAGCACTTAAGCTGCAGTATGAACTGGGTGCTTAGTGAAGTCAGTTTTAAAGGTAAAATAGCCCCCTCTCTGGAGCGGCCACCTAAAGCCATTTCTTAGCTCCACTCTCTGTTTTCTCCTAGCCACATGAACAGAAACATCAAAGCTATGACACTAGCTCAGGGTAAATTCTGGAAAAGAATCCCTGCTACAAGTTTGGATTTCGGATTTACCTGCTCTGATCCCAGTTGGCAGCAAAAAGGACTAGAATCTTCCTGCCATAGTGGTCCAGGTTGGCCAGGCCACCAGGGAAGCCATCCTTCAGCGCTTGTTTGATCCCAGGGTCAGTGGCCTTGAAGCTTTTGAACATGTCCAGGTTCTGTTGCCGGTACTCAAAATACTGGGCCAGGAGGCGGAAGGCCTCAAAGTGATGAAACTTCCTGGCCCTCAAGAAGCGTAAGATGAAGGCATCATCTGTGCGCAGAAAGCCAATGTCCGGCCTGGTGATGACCATGTCCCTCACCTCCTGGATGTCCTGGTGCAGTGTGTCTGGGTTCTCATTGAGTTCTAGGCGAGCTTTCTCCAGGGTCTCAGGAGAGAGACCAGCTTGTAAGTGAGTCATTGTTCTGTTGATTCCTGAGCCCTCCCTTCCTCTTGCTGACTGTCCCACGACAAACTCGTCCCTTCCACCACCACTCTGGCCCCCAAACCTCACCACCTTTCCTCTCTTTTACAGGAAATGTTTTGTCCCAGTGTCCAATCCAGTACCCTGTTGCTCCCGTTTTCCCACAGATTTTCTTTGGAGATATAAACTTCTTCCCCTGACCCCCTAAAAATAATACCCCACTTTGGTTCCCTCTTCTCTTTCCCTTAAAGGGATAAGGACTTCTGGCCAGGCCACCACTCTTCTTCCTGTCTTTCCTCTCCTAACAAAATACCCTTAATCCTACCCGGCACTGGTGGTGCTGATCTTGGTACTGTCGTCTTCTTTTCCAAGATGTAACAAAAACAACCCCCACGCACATCTCAGCCCCGGCGCTGCGATGCTGCCGAAGTCCCTACCGAAGGATGCTCCTGCCAGGGATAACGATGGGAATTCTGATTAATAATAAGGTGGCTCTTCAGCGCTGAGCTCCAGGGCGGGGAGAGAGCATCTTTGCCAGAAAGAAAAAGAAAGAAAGAGGTGGGAAAAAGAGCTTATTTTTCCCTCTGCTTATTCGAAGATGCTATTTTTAAAAGACATTTGTGGGATTGTATTTAAAAATTTTATGATCCAATTAGGTGGAGACTCTGCAGATAACGCACCTTCCCTCCTCCCCTCCTAGATACACCGTGATCTCATAAGGAACCAGCAGGGTTTTTGGTGGCGTTGGCACCAGCGTGCCCCCCCAACCCCACCCCAACTTCTCCCTTCGTCCAGCCTTTATTTCAGCGGACTTGCCAAGGAAGGAAAAAGAAAATCTCTCCCGAGAATGCACATTTTTAAAGCAGGGTGGGGGAAGGGGGAAGAGTGGAGAATAAAATAAAAAATGTCTCCATCTTTTCCATAAAACCCAAAGCAAGAGGGAAGAAAGAGCAGCCGGCTCCTACCAGCAAACCTGGAGGCGGGGACGCTAAGCAATGCGGCACTCCCTGGCATCCATCAGCCGAGGCTTCGGCGGCGGCGACAGCAGCATCAACTCCTCTCGGTGGGATAGAGCGAGCAGAGAGGGGCGGCAGCGGGGACCCAGGCGGAGGGCGCACTCGGGAGCAGCCGCGGCCGCATCATTTGCCAGGAGCCCACTGCCTCTCCAAGCCGCAGTCGGGGAGCGGAGCTAGAGCCACCGCTGCCCCAAGCCCTCGCATGGCCCAGCCGTTCTAGCCTCAGGGGGAAGGGAGGGAACGGGACCTCAACGCGCGGATGGAGCAGGCCACGCGGTGCAGCCGCCGCCTTTGTTGCACCCAGCCCCTCCGGGGACGTGGGCGCGGCGGGGCGGCGGCGGGAGGTGCGGGCCTGCCTTGTGCCCGTCGGCACTGTCGGAGTCAGGGGCGCTCCGCGGGGCTGCCGCTACGCTTCTGCTGCTGCTCCTGCTGCGAGGACTCGGATCAGCCCAACTCCTCTCTAATTATCCCAGCACAGATCTCGCTGCGACGTAAGCGCTCGCTCAGCTCGCTCACGCACTCCTCTGCGCTCTCCCAGGCTCGGTTGGCCAGGATAGTGTTTTCCCGGGCATTCAAATATTCCGAGACCCAAGTTTACCCAGAGCGAGGTCCCTCTCCCCAAGAGGCTACTCAGGCGACCCCAGCTCGGCCGGGAGGGGCGGAGACCCCTTCCAGCCTCCCCTCGCCCCTCTCTTACCCTTTGTGTACAAGACCCCTGAGTAACGAGGCGAGTAGCTTTTGTACGTGGTAATTCATATTGACACACATTTGCTAGAGCCTGTAGGAGGTGATTTTGATGTGGAAGGAGTAGGGAAACATTTTGTACTTTTTCCATTTGTTGACAGAAACGATGAATTTAGGAAAGAGGACCAGAGTCGTTCCAAAGCATTGTGCTGATGATTAAGCCTACGCAGGAATTTAGTATTTCAACCTTAAACTCTAGCTGCTGAATTCCTATTGAACAGGACGAAAATGAGTGCTAGAGAGGAGATAAAAAAGAAAAGAAAAGAATACAGTGCTCAAATGAAGAGAAAATAGGCACTCCTTGAGTCGTTTATCATTTCATAATAAACTATTTCTGGAAATATGTATGATGTATGCCTCGGTTTTATGCACCTGTATCCTAGAATCATCATAAATGTACAGGACTCTGAGCTGAATGTTGATTGTACACTTTTTTTTTTTAAGGACTGTTTTCTATTTTCAAAACACAGCATGTGTCATTGAACATGTCATTAAGATCATTTTTGGCATACAGACTGTAGAACGGGGTCTTTAATTCAAGATAAGGGGTCCTGGTGACGCGGTGGTGAAGCACTGGGATCCTAACCTAAAGGTCAGCAGTTCAAACCCACCAGTGGCTCAACAGGAGACGATCTGGCAGTCTGCTTCTGTAGAGCTTTCGGCCTCTGGAATTCTATGGGGCAGCTAGGGTCGCTGTGAGTCCCAACAGACAGAAGAGCAACCGATTTGATTTTGGTTTTTTAGTTAGGATCTCTGGTGGTGTAGTGCCTAAGGCACTTGACTGCTAACCGGAAGGCTGGCTGTTCAATCCTACTTAGGCACGCCTCAGAAAGAAGGTTGGGCAATCTACTTCCGTAGTGATACCACCTTGGAAAGTAGGGTCCGACTCAACAGCACATAATAACAACAAGTATTTTAGTTCCAGTCAGCTCAGTTGCAACAAATATTTACTAAGTCTTGACTATGTGGGGCACATTATCCTAGATTCTGTGAATATGAGATGATGGAGCCATAGTTTAAAGAAAATAATACTGTCATGCTTTGATGACTCGGTGAACCCTCGGATTACAGGCATCCACTTTTTTTTCCCCCCTAATGGCAATGGGTTGGGCAATCTACTTCCGTAGTGATACTGCCTTGGAAACCCAAGGAGGAGTCGCTATGAGTAGGTTCCGACTCCACGGCACATAACAACAACAACAACAATGGCAATGGGATTGGCAGAAAAAGAGAAAAGAGAGCTTCATGTTTCACCTAAGCTATCATTTATTTAAATTAATGAAAATAATGTGGGAACCAGAACAAGAATAAATTACACACGCATATAGTCACTGTGCCCAAGAAATTTACAAATTTAATTGAGGAAGAAAATAGTATATACATTTAAAGATCTTGAACTTTTTGTGATTATATCTCTCAACAAAATTCTGAATACAACATGAGTTATTAAATAATTTGGTTCTAATTTTAAAAGAATTCTGAAAAGTAACCAATATTCTAGAAGCTGAAGAGAGTATGTGTCTGGTATCAACTGTATGAAGAGGTTTTGTTGTTTTTATTAGGTGCCTTCTAATAAAGTATTAGGCGTGATTCACAGCTCTCCTATGTACAACAGAACCAAACACCACCTGGTCCTGTGCCGTCCTCACTGCTGTTGTGACATCTGAGCCCATTGTTGCAGCCACTGTGGCTCCATCTAACTGAGAGTCGTCTTCTTCGCTCTCTATTTTTCCAAGCATGACTCTCTACTTTTCCTTCTCCAGGGACTGGTCCCTTCTAATAACATGTCCAAAGTACTCAAGGTGAACTCTTGCCATCCTCTCTTCTAAGGAGTGTTCATTCTGACTGTACTTCTCCAGGAAAGATTTGTTTGTTCTTCTGGCACTCCATGATATGTTCAGTATTTATTGCCAACACCATAATGCAACATCATCAATCCTTCTTTATTCTTCCTTACTCCTTGCCCAGCTTTTGCATTCATATGAGGCAATTAAAAATACCACCACTTGGCTCAGGCACACCTTAGTCCTCAAAGTGACATCTTTGTTTTTTAACACATTAAAGAGGTTTTTTGCACTAGATTTGCTCAATGCAATATGACATTTGATATCTTCACTACTGCTCCCATGGGCATTGATTGTGGATCCAAGTAAAATGGGTTTAACAAGTTCAATCTTTTCTCTATTTATCGTGATTTGCTTATGGGTTTTAGCAATCACCAATAGTAAGAGACAATTTTCCATGGAAGGCTCATGTTTCACAAGCCTTACAAACAAGGGTCTTTTTTCTGGTTGTTTTTGTAATGAACAGAAATAGAAATGTTTTGAATGACAGAGGTCATACTGCTCTCTGGAAAAAAGACTAGGTTTGTGTGGAATTGTGGAAGATGTAGCATCTCCCTTCAGAGGAAGCCAACTTATTTAGGGCTCAGGAGATCTCTCTGGTAAAGCCACTCACTATGTGTGCAGGTATCGCCTGATCCTCTTCTGGTAACTCCGTGTAATTTAGTGCTGAGGAAACCAGTACATACTGCTCGCTGTGCCTAAATAATAAACTTCCTTTTCTTAAACTCAGAAGGCTTAATTCTTCTTCCAGCATCCATGAAACTGTGGCATGCTAACTTGTTGCTTGCCCGTAGAGTTAAATCTCAGATCCTTCACAGTGCTTAACAACCAATTGCTTAATTTGTTCTCTGAAATGGAAATATGAAACCATGTTTCTAGAGAGGAATTATGAAATAAAATCAAATTTGTTGGAGCATGGAATGATGAGACATATTTAGTGTAAATATTTCTACTGCTTATTATATTATTACTTGTTACGGTATGTATAATAATGTGGTTGTCAGGTGCCTTCAAGTGAATTTCCACTCCTAACAAACTCATGTGACACAGTAGAACTGTCCCTAGGACTTCCTAGGCTATCATCTACACAGGAGCACGTCACCAGGTCTTTTTCCTGCTAAGCCGTCAGGTGGAGTTAGTCTGTGGGTTCCAACCATCATCTCAAGTGAGCATTTGAGATCCGTTAACAACTGTTAACTGTTGCCACCAGAGCTAATTTATAAAATGATTGTAAAAAAATATTTTATTATTTTTATTATCTGTCAATGATACAAGGAACACTCGTGGTGCATTTGTTAAGTGTTTGGTTGATAACCAAAACGTCAGCAGTTTGAACTCACCAGTCTCTCTGAGGGAGAAAGATGTGACAGTCTGGTTCCATAAAGATTTTAGCCTTGGAAACCCTAGGGAGCAGTTCTACTCTGTTCTATAGGGGTTGCTATAGCTCAGAAAAGACTTGACAATAGCTGGGTTTTTTTGTTTTGTTTTGGTTTGGTTATCAATAAGAGTATTGCTTCAAGTAGGGTTCATTTTAATATATAAATACGTGATAAAAATAGCCTCTGTGATGCTGTAGGGTTGTTGAAGTAAGTATTTTTTTCATTGTATTTACAAACTATTACGGTCTTTCTCCACCATTGTACTGTTACTTTCTCTGTAAATGTACAGCTAAAATCAGTTCTGAAACCAAGATAAACGTGTAAGAACTTAGCAAGGTTTTTATCCAAATGACATCAGAGCATTTGATTCTCATTCAATATTAATTTAGTTTGCCAAACTAATGCAAAGTGATGTAAGAATTAGAATATGAGACTCAATTAACTAAACAAAAGGTTTAAGTAAAGCATTATTGGGAAAATAATTAAATCAGGAACTTCCAGTGCTTTCAAGCAACATGAAAGAAAAATTTGATTTACTGCTATATTAAAATGAATAGGGTAAGTAATTTGTGTTCTAAAACATTTTATGCCTCATTGTATCTTCTATAACTCTTACTCTCTCTGGTAGCATAGTGGCTAAAACACTTGCCTGCTAACCAGACGGCTGGCGGTTCAAACCCACCAGCCACTCCTCGGAAGGAAGGTTGGGCAATCCTACTTCTGTAGTGATACTGCCTCGGAAACCCAAGGAGGGGTCGCTATGAGTCGGGGCCGACTCGATGGCACATAACAACAACAACATAACTCTTACTGTATCATCTGCATGTTTCTTCATTTTTTCTCATCATCTCTCTATTTGGGTATTTTCTGTCTAACCTTCTTTCAGTTCATAAAGTCAACCTTTTAGGGTCTCTACAAGTTGGAATTGACTTGACGTCAATGGGTTTGGTTTTATATACACACACACACACACATATACACAGAAAGGGGCACAAAATAAAGGTATGCAGCTCAATGATATATTACAAAACAAATGCCTGTGTGTTTATTTATCCAACAAGATTAAGAAAACAGCAGTACCCAGAAAGCTCCCCCTTGTCTCTTCTCAACCACTGACCTTTTATTCCCACCCAACAAAGGAAGCCATATTTTCTTCATTTCAAAAGTAATCACTCCTTGTTTTGTTTTCTGTTTGTTTTAATTTAGAAACTAAATGTGGTAGTTAAAGTTGTGTGTCAACTTGGCTGGGTCGTGGTTTTGAGTGGCTGGGCAG